AAGAATTATATATGATTACTATTACGTTAACAAGTACACTTGCATCAAATGCGTTGATCTCTATGTGTGTACTAAAATGTCTTGTAAATATTGTACTGTTAGCATTTAATAAATTCATCTATGTAGTTGATGACTATTTATATATTTTATATATTTAGAAGTGGTTATGGATACATGTGTTGTCGTGTTTGATTAGTGTGTTGCTGGTGAAGGTGGAAAACATCTTCTCCATTTCTTTTTCTCTCCATTTCTTCCATTACCATGATTTTGAAGGAATAAATAATGCTATCTATAAAATATGTATCATCTCTATTGCGTTTTTTTCTTTAAAACTTTATAGCAATGGAAGAAATGGAGGGTAAAAAATGGAGCGGATTTCCTCGGTTCTTCAATTAGGAATTTAGTAAAATTGACGAGTACAAAAGGTCTTGTTGTAGGTCAGAAAAGAGTTATTATATAATAATATTTAATTAAGACGAGAGGTCAATTTATTTCAAGAATAAGTTTATTTAGACTTATTCTGTTAAATAACTTATATTCTACGTCAAATTTTAACAATCTAATCGTTAAATTTAAAATTTTTAATACATTAATCAAATTTATAAATTTTTTAAAAAAATTAAAAATCATTTAATATTTTGTTTTATTAATTTAAATTGATGGATAATCATAAAATTATTTTATATGTTGATCTGGATTAATAAAATAAAGTATTAAATAATTTTTAAATTTTTTAAAAGTTTGCAGATTTAATCGATATATTAAAATTTTTAAATTCAATGATTAGATTATTGAAATCTAAATGTAGAACATGAGTTATTACATTGAGTAAATTTATGTAAACTTATTTTTAGAGTAAGTGAATCTCCTATCTTTAATTAATATAAAAATAATATAATAATAATAAATAAATAAGTAAAAAGTGAAATGGGTAAATAAATAGAAATGATGAGAAATTGACATGTGTCCAATCAGACATTTCTTCCTTTTTTAAGAGATCTTTTTATGATCTAATGAAATAAGTAAGACTTGATTTTATTTTCAATCTTCGTCTTAATTATGTGATTTTGGAAAGGCTCCTAGTTGTTCCACTTATATGTCTTTTTAAGAGATTTTGTGAGATTTTGTGGGACTTTTTTTTTTTTTGAATTCTTGCATTTTTTTTCTTGTTTCTCTTCCTCTCATTATTTTTTCTCACCTTAAAAATGTAAGTATTACAGTCTCTCTAACACACTTTTTTAACACTTTTTAATTAATTAAAATTTATTAAAAAAAACATAAATTTTTGTAGGTCACTATTTTATTTAGTTTCTCTTTTTTAATTTTGTAAGTTTTTATTAAATTTTAACCAATGAAGATGAGTATGTTAAAAGCAGTGCTATTAACATTCTTCTTTTCACCTTTCTTGTCTTTCTTTCTTCTTTTTATCCTTTCTCTCTTTCACTATCTTCTCTCTCGTTTCTTTCTTTTTCTCCTCTTTTATTTCTTTTTATATTTTTATCTAATAATATTAACATAAGATTTATCAATATTTATTTTTGAATTATTAAATATTTAAATTATTTTTAAATCATTAAATATTATTTATAGTTAATTTTTTAAGTTATTATATATTAAAAAATTGAAACATTTACATACAGTAAATTTTAATATTGAAACTTTAAATATTTAAACATATATTAAGAATAAATTTTGTATATGGTGAAAAATTAAATTGTCTTGTTTAAATTAAGAAATTTAAATATCACTAATCTTAGTACATCTTCCTTTTCCTTTTAATTGTTAGCTTTTAAGTAAAATTTTGATTTTATTTATTTGTTGTTTTCAAAGTTCAAGATAACATTTATTACTACTTATCAATTATACCATTATATCTTATCTAATTTTAATTAGTTTATATATTAATAACTAACTCCAAGCGTGTGGTTCAGCGGTAGGGGTTGATCCATGCTTAAGTAAGGTCAGGGATTCAAATCTTGTCTGCTGTATGCATCCGCGTTAAATCTATTAGTCACCCCTATCAGTGGTGGATACTATAGGGACGAACTAAAAATAAAAGAGGAAAATAAAATATTAAAATTATTTTATAAAAAAAATTATTATATTTCTTGATTTGCATATGTCAGCATTAAAAACTAATAAAAATGAATGAATGAAATATAAGATAAAGAAAAATGCTATCGGCATATTTTTTTAAACATATTATTTTTATTGATTATTTTCATTAATGAGTTGTGCGATTCACCGTAATATAAGAGAAATTTTACTGAAATATTCTATCATCATTCAAATACCTATGCAAAAGTAATGATACTAAGGTTGAAACACCTACATCGTCAATGGGCATCAAACCATTAGGTATCATTAACGGTAAAACAGATAAAATAGGAAATAAATTTATGATTGGTGGTGTTAAAAATAATATAATTTTTCATTCTCACTTGAAATTTATGAAAAAGAAATACAAATGATTCTTCTATTTTTTATTTTTTTTAGGGTTGAGAAAGTGCGTGGTTAGTGGAGTAATAAATATGAAAGAAAGATACAGATAATGATATTTTTTTTTATTGGATTAAAGAGAAAGAGAAAATAATAAATAAATAAAAAGGATAAAAGTTAACTTTAAAAAAATTATTAGCATGATAACTCCTGTGATACACAAATATACTATTACCACCGATTTTAGTTATAAGTAACAAATTCATTTTTTTATTTGCTTCTAATTATAAGCCATCATTATTAGTTTTAAATTTCTTTATAATTAGAATAAAAAGAATTATTCATAGTTAAATTTCTTTTATATCCTTCATTTATTATTAAATTTATTTTCTATGTGTTCACTTAAAAATAATATTAAATATAATAAGCATTTAAAGTAAGAATACATTTAGAATAAATCTTAAATTTATAGTAAAATTAATTAAAAGTAACTATATTAATTACTTTTATTAGTCTTATGATTTATCTTAAATATTAGTTTCTTAATTGACAAAATTGGTGGATGCATCAATTAATGATCAAATTGGATACCAATTTTAATCAGTTAAACTAGTCATTCATTCATAAATCATTTTAGTGATTGTAAAATTAATATGGTGACTAGTTTTATAGTGAACGAGTTAGCAGTTAAATTAGTGACCGATCTTATAGTGATGATAAACAACAAACTTTTAGAGATCGAATATTTAGTCACTAAATTATATCTAGCTAATTTTGAAGTTAAATTTCATACATTCCTTTACTTGTCCATGAAAATAAATGGTTTATGTTATTTAAACCTTACATTTTGAAATTAATGAAATTCTACTTACCAAAACTAAAATAAATAAATAATAATAATAATACGATCAATCATCAGTAAATAGGATAGTTCATTGACTACTAGAATCTATCACTTTTATATTTATTTGTAAGTTAAATTTCAATGTTTTCTTAAAGAAATTATGAATAATTAAAAATAACTTTATAATATAAATCATTTTTCATAAATGTAAAATATAACTTATAGATCAAATTATTTATTTATTATAAATTTTAGTTGCCCTATAAATGATAAATTATTTATATATAAAAAATCGCATACATTACATGGGTTAATATACAATTAAAATCAGTAAATTTAAAACCACTAATTTAATCCCAACTGATTCTTATTTCAAAAATGAAAGAAATTATTTACAATTTTTATAATAATTAAAATTAATATATTTAAATTTAATTTATTAACACCAACTCTTTAACTATGAAATAGTAAAATATACATTAAAATAACTCATGAATTGCTTCTTCGGATATGTCCTTGCTAAATATATAAATTTTAAGTTTAATTACATATTTAATTCCAATAATTTTATCAATTTTATCTTTTAATTTTTATAATTAAAAATAATTCATTTCAATTTATACATATTATCTTTGTAATTTGTTCCATTTTTAGTTTGTGTCCGACTATTTATATAGGTAAACATATAAACTATAGATGGTAAAAATATTTTCAACTAAAAAAAGTATTAAAATTAAAAAAAAAAATTGAATTATAGAATCTAATCATAAAATTATTATAGGAATGAAACACTCATTAAACAAAAATTTAAAAATTGAAACTACTAATTTATTATATTATCACACATCTATTAAATGTCGTACTTGGATTCAGTGTAAGGGGAGGCATCAAAGAGAAAAAAAAATATAATTGATTTAATAGATTATAAGTAAAAAAAAAAGAGTTGAATACTAGTAAAATTTGTAGTTGATTGATAGATTAAAAATAAATGAAAAATAAAAAAAAATGATATTTTAAAAAATATATTTTATATAGCTAAATTTTTATATATAATATATGATTATAATTTTACCTTCTCCCAATATATATTATATTTTTTTAATGTAATATAATAGCTACATATTTTATTTCTATTGCATAACATAATAAATTACATTGATAATATATTTTAATTTAATCACTCATAATATCTAATCCCAATTGTATTCTTGCATATTTCATTAGTAATATATTAGAATACAATGATATAACTATAACTCTTATAGTTATAAGGTTATATTTATCATTTTATTCAACTAATCTTAATCTCATAACAATCTTTTCTTTAAACAAGATATTTTTGCAACCTCTTATACTATATTAGAATACGGTGATATAACTCCTGATATAAGGTTATATTTATCCTTTTATTCAACCAACTTTAATCCCATAACAATCTCTTCTTTAAATAAAGTATCTTTGTAACCTCTTATACTATATTAGAATATACCGATATAATTCTTATTATAAAGTTATATTTAGCATTTTATTCGACCAACCTTAATCCCATTACAATCTCCTCTTTAGAGATGGTGTTTTTGCAACCTCTTATTACCCATTTCCACATAAATCACTTCTACATAAGTGAGATGTGTTTTTTATTAATTGCCTTGTAAGCAGAGTGTAAGTACAAATGAAACATGAATTAAGCAACTAGTTGTTTACCTTGGTTTTCTTTTTCTTACCCATGGGTGGTTGAACTCTCTGTGACCCAGATTTGCAGTTAGTTACATACGACTGGAGTATGCGGTGCGTCACGTGCGTGCCTATACATGTTGACCTCATGCACCACGTGCTCAGATATTTAAATACTCTAATTCGGTTCATAGTCTCTACAATATTCCATTTTCACAGGGGAAATCCAAACTAAAGCTTAGTAGCCATGGCAATGAGACAAGAGGATTGGGTGACTGTGACAACAACGTTATCGCTGTTGCTCTTTCTTTCTTTTCCGTCGTTCAGTTACGGAGTTGTTCCTCCTCGTACGTTCCTCAATAAGCTGTCTGAGGGCAAATATCTCACCAATCACGAGCTCTGGCTCGACCAAACCCTCGATCACTTCTCTCCCTATGTATCTCTCTCAAAATGCATTATTCTTTCGAAATTTTGAGTGGATTATGGTTCTTTCGATTTATTCTAATGCTGTTGGTTGTTGCTCTGCCTCTGCAGGATCATCGTCAATTCCGGCAACGTTACTATGAGTTCCTGGACTATTTCCGGATTCCTGATGGGCCAATTTTTCTGGTAATCGGTGGTGAAGGTACATGCTATGGTATAGCGAATGACTATCTTGCTGTAAGTTGCAATTCTTGCTTCAAATTTGTATTGATGTATTTTGTTGGTTAATTTGGATGCATTCATGGCTCAATACCGAATGTTGAAGTTAAGATCATGAGTTTTGGAATAGAACAATTATGTTGTGACCAATGGGACGGAAAAGGATAGTCGTCTACGTGACGAATTTTGTGTTTTTCTATCTGTCCTTGTAAAAGTCAACAAGCTCACCATGCATGATGATTTGTGGTTAGTTTTACACTGGCAGTGCATGACTTATTTTCTCATATTATATAGGCACTGGGTATTTATTGTGTATGACAAGAGAGATAAACGCAAAATTTGAACATCAAATGTTAAGATCCGTTCCCCCAACAAGACTGATTTCTCATTTTGTTCCTATGAAAGAATGATGTGGCTTTTGTGAGGATGGAAGAAAACTTAGTTATACTAATACAAACAAATCTCCATGCCTTGTTTTATCCTTAGGTATTGGCAAAGAAGTTTGGAGCGGCTTTGGTTATGCTTGAACATCGCTACTATGGAAAGAGTTCCCCATTTAATTCTTTGGAGACGGAAAATTTGAAATACCTTTCATCCAAGCAGGCACTCTTTGATTTGGCTGCTTTTCGCCAGTATTATCAGGTAAGCTACATTGTTTTGCAGTCATAGTTGATGACAACTTTGTAGAAATGAAGCTAGTAAAATAGTAACCTAAGAAATTTTGTAGAAAAAAAATCTTGGATAGCTCTTTGTTTGAAGTTTTCTAGTTAGATAACCAAAAAACGTAGGTAATACAAGGCATTGGCATTGGTCACATATAAGTTTCTGAGAACCAAATGTCAAAATTTTGTAAATGTTTACTGGAAAGGATTAGTGTGATTGTTGTTAGAAGGTCCTGCATTGCCTGCCTCAATTTTTGGTGTGCAACTTATATATTTCTTGGATTTTACCTAATGTCAATTTGTTTTAAGATGAAATCTAATATGGTATCAAAGCCTATAGTTCATCTTGGTAAATACCATATTTTGGTAAGCTTGCCTGTTTTGGTGGACATGTGGAGGGGGGGGGGAGAGGGGGTTGTTGGTAGGTCTTACATCGCTCTTCTCAATTCTTGAGATGCAACTTATATATGTGTTATGCAACTTCACTTAGTGCCAATTGATTTTAAGATGAAATCTAACAATTGTGAATGACATTCAAATATAGATTATGGTTAGTGATGGTCAACAGCATTGAGAGTTTGAGACATTTGTCAATTGATGTTTTCTGTTACAAAGTTTACCTAACTTTTTTTTATTTAAAAAAAGTTGAATTGCATTGCATGCTGTATAAGAAAGATATGTTGGTGAATCCAAATTTTGTAAAGAAGAAATTTAATTTTGAATGGTTAGGTTGGAAAATTAGATTGTTCCTCAGCAATTATTGCTTTCGTGCTTTACCTGGGCTTGGAATATTTTATGATTCTACTTGGAGTTGCAATTACATTGCATGTATATTAGTCCCGTATTCAAGCCTTAATTTCTAGTTCTGCAATTTCCTGCAAGCATGCTTAATTATACCTAATGTATCTATGGTTATTCAATCAAGTAACTTCTGCGTTAACAGTTTGTGGATACTTTCTAGCTGTCAATTTATCATATTTCCATCTTCTGTTTGATTTTTACTTGCACCTTCAGGTTTTTCTGTGGCATAAGTTAAATTTTTAAATAACCCATTCTTGCATATGGTGTCTATTAGATTGCTGGCGTCCTGCCCATTTTATTTGATTTCTTGCTGTCATTTTCATGTAGGACAACATAAATGCAAAGCTTAATAGAACAAAAATTGAAAACCCATGGTTCATTTTTGGCGGCTCATATTCTGGAGCACTCAGTGCATGGTTCCGTCTCAAGTTTCCCCATTTAACATGTGGAAGTCTAGCAAGTTCTGCAGTTGTTCTTGCTGTTTACAACTTCACAGAATTTGATCAGCAGGTGAGGAGAGCTATTATTTTTCATGGTCATCTTTTGTTTCTTTAGTCTACATGCTATAAAATGTTAAAAGTTCCCTCTTGTTTTATTTCTGTCAAATTTTGAGTTCTCGGTTTTATCTTTCACTGCAGATTGGCGAGTCTGCAGGAGCTGAATGCAAAGAAGCGCTGCAAGAAACTACTCAGCTCATTGAACACGAACTTTCAACCAATGGAAAGGAACTGAAGGCCTCTTTTGATGCAGATGATGTATGCTCTGTTCCTTTGTTACTCTTTCCTTGCAAAAGTATATTGTAGCTTCCCCAAGAACATAAAATATGTTGCCTAGTAGACTTTTTAGTTTGATTGCCATGTTGCATGCTGACATTTTCCCTGTTTTGCAGCTTGAAATAGATGGAGACTTTTTGTATTTTTTGGCTGATGCTGCTGCTATAGCAGTAAGTGTTATGATTATAGCTGTTTTTGTTATTAATTTCAATCTCTTGTATTCAAATTCATTATGCCTTCTCCTTTTTCTGGATCCATGTTACAGTTTCAATATGGAAATCCGGATAAAGTATGCAAACCTCTGGTTGAAGCAAAGAAGGCTGGAGAGGACTTGGTGGTATGCTTTTCAATCTAGTTCCTTTTTCCAGATATTATGAAACTGCTCAATGTAGTTCTTCTGTTTTTTATACCACTTGCAAATGAATAATTTTATATATTCCTTTTCCTTTTGCCACTCTAAATTATAGTTTACTTTATAGTCATGTAAAATTCTTGGTTGTATTATACAACTCAGTGTTTGTTCTATCCCTGATGAGACCCTCGAGTCCAATAACTCCAAGGATGAGGAAATATCACTGGTTCAGCAGGTGAACCATGAAACT